GGGGTCGGGGGGTACAAAACCCCCGGTGGGGGATCTGGGGGTACAGGGACTGCCCCGGTGGGGGTCCAGGGGGCTGGGAGTGCGGGGACCCCCCAGGGTGGGGGGATCTGGGGGTCTGGGGGTGCGGGCACCTCCCAGAGAGGGGGATACGGGGGTCTGGGGGTACAAAAACCCCGGTGGGGGATCTGGGGGTACAGGGACTGCCCCGGTGGGGGTCCAGGGGGCTGGGAGTGCGGGGACCCCCCAGGGTGGGGGGATCTGGGGGTCGGGGGGTGCGGTTCCCCCCAGAGAGGGGGATACGGGGGTCTGGGGGTACAAAAACCCCGGTGGGGGATCTGGGGGTACAGGGACTGCCCCGGTGGGGGTCCAGGGGGCTGGGAGTGCGGGGACCCCCCAGGGTGGGGGGATCTGGGGGTCGGGGGGTGCGGGCACCTCCCAGAGTGGGGGATACGGGGGTCTGGGGGGAAAAAACCCCGGTGGGGGATCTGGGGGTACAGGGACTGCCCCGGTGGGGGTCCAGGGGGCTGGGAGTTCGGGGAACCCCAGGGTGGGGGGATCTGGTGGTCGGGGGGTGCGGTTCCCCCCAAGGTGGGGGATACGGGGGCTGCGGGGACCCCCCCCCCCATGGATGTGGGGTGCAGAGACCCCCAGGGTGGGGTACCCAATCACCCAGGAGCTGCCCACCCCCTCCGAGCCGTCTCGGGGTCCCCTGGGTGGGGGGTCCCACCACCCCACGTCCCCCCCCCGCCAAGGCCGTGGGGTCGAGGTGGCCGGAGCCCCCCGGGGAGTGGCCGAGCCCGGGGGTCCCCTCTCGGCGCAGGGGTGGGACCCCCGGGGGGGGGTGGCCGTGGGGCCGGGCCGTCCCCTTTAAGGCCCCGCGCGCCCCTGGGCGCAGCCGCTCACCTGGGCAGGTGACGGGGCCGCAGGTGGTGACGGTGCCGCGCGCGCCATGGCCGCCTCCGCCCTCTTCATCCTGGACCTCAAGGGGAAGGTGAGACCCCCCCCTCCCCGCCGCGACCACCCCAAACCCCCCCGGGGGGACCCCGCTGTCCCCGCTCACCTCGAAGGTCAGCCGAGGTCAGCGGCGGTGACCCCCGTGACCCCGGGGATGGGGTGAGGGGTTCGGGACTGGGAGGGTCCCCCCACTTCTGACCCTCCCACCCTGTTACACCCACCCCAAACCCCCCCTCCCCCCGGGGGGACCCGGGTCTCCAGGGTGGGGGACACCCCGCTGTCCCCTCTGCCCTTGAAGGTCGGCCAAGGTCAGCGGCCGTGACCCCGTGACCCCGGGGATGGGGTGATCGATTTGGGGGGGGTTTCCCCTTTTCTTGCCCCCCCCCACTCGCCCCACAGCCGCTGATCAGCCGCAACTACAAGGGGGACGTGGGGCTGGGGGAGATCGAGCACTTCATGGGGGTCCTGCTGCAGCGGGAGGAGGAGGGGACCCTCACGCCCCTCCTGACCCACGGCCACGTCCACTTCCTGTGGATCAAACACGCCAACCTGTACCGTATCCTTCTGGGACCCCTCCCCGGACCCCTCTGAACCCCCCCCAGCCGGGGGGACCCCCCGGTGCCCCCCCTTTCCTTAACCACCCCCCCGGCAGTGGTGGCCACCACCAAGAAGAACGGCAACGCCTCGCTGGTCTACTCCTTCCTCTACAAGGTGGTGGAGGTGAGTCCGGGGGGCCTGGGGGGTGAGGGTGCCCCTAACGTGGGGGTCTCCCCAATGTGGGGGTCTCCCCTC